GGTGCGCAAGCAACAGGAGGAACCCCAGTGGGCTGCAAGTTTCCCACCACTGACAATCATGCATCCCACAGAGGCAAAGGGCCACTCATGCAGCTCACTCACTAGTCTTAGCTGCCCATCGCTGGTCTGAAGCGATTCTTCTCCATTTTTCTCATCCTAACCAAATCTGCAAAGTGAATTATGTAGTGATGTGAATAAGTAATGCGCAAGCAACAGGAGGAACCCCAGTGGGCTGCAAGTTTCCCACCACTGACAATCATGCATCCCACAGAGGCAAAGGGCCACTCATGCAGCTCACTCACTAGTCTTAGCTGCCCATCGCTGGTCTGAAGCGATTCTTCTCCATTTTTCTCATCCTAACCAAATCTGCAAAGTGAATTATGTAGTGATGTGAATAAGTAAGCAGAAGGTGTTTCTCTTTTGGATAAGGCTCTGTTGTACAAACCAACATTCCCTACTGAATTTCAATTTACATACTGCATGCTACTATTTTAGTCAGGTTACAGTTCACAAAGATGAAGGCCATATACCTTGCCAAGTTTGGTTGCCCACTCTCAGAAGTTCTGGAAAATCTCTAGATCTTTCGGGGCCACAGGAGGGGTTTTGTTCCAGTCATCTTCAGGATAAGCTTCAAAATTAGATGTATCTCCATCATTGGATACCTTCGGCATTATTGGAGGCTGACCAGAAATAAAACAATACAAAAATGAAATAGACATTTAATACGACAATAAATATCTCAATTCATTACTCACCATCTTATTGAACATGTTTTAGGTTGGTACCCATGCTGTAGACATTGTACAAATAAACAGCAAGTGACAATCCCTGTGCAAAGAGCTTGCTATCTAAAATGCGACACACTTTAGGAAGACAAGTGGGGGAAAAAAAATCAAAGCGACAGAGAAGAGTGTGGATGGGGCGCTGATGTGGTCTGCACAATGAGCCAGTAACAGATTCTGACAGCAAACACTGAATGATTTTAGAGGGGACATTCATATCTTCAGATATGATGGTTCTGTTACAAAAGAGAATAAAATTTCTGTGATCTGATTTTTTGACACAAGGTTGAGCAGAGTTAATAAATGCTTTAGAACAATGTTGACTCTGGATTAAACCGAAGAGAGTACAACAATCACATCAAAGCTGAAGCTTTCATCCTTAACTCATCTGGTTTTTCCTAGAGATTTGACCATAATCACTAGCTTAATTCTCTCTAAGGGTCAACGGATGTCTTGCCATTGACTTCATACTCGGGAAACATGAAAGAATGAAAGAAACACCATGAAGGAAAGGATGAGGAAAAGAAAGTAGTAAGACAAGAAAAACAAATACTTTCCCGCACCCCTCTTCAAATAATTAGGAAAGAGGAGAGACGATTTTCTAATAATTTATAGGTACGTTCAAGGCTTCTCAATTGTAGCACAGTGCTTGCATACTGTGAAGAATGACAATTTAGTAAAGAGATTAGATTGTAACAGAACATTCTGGGAAGCTTGTTAATCGTTTTGAAATGTACCATAATTGCCTAGTGACTAACATTTCAGAGTTAAATATAAATGAGCAAACAACTTTTTCCTGTAGAATATCAATAAGTGATTTGGTCACATTAAATATTGATATATTTTTAATACCTCTTTGCCATGATGACATTAGTAGTTCCTTTTGTTGGTAACAGTAAAGGTACCTCTTTCCAATCCCTACCCAAAAAGAAATCTGCACAATTTTTTATATTTGTTTTCAGAATTTCCCCCAAATTGGGGCATTTAAGTTTGTTAAAATGTTTCATTCGTGTCATTAATATCTTATGCTTTTTCTCCACTTGCAATAATTTTGCAGTAGAAAAGCATTCAGCAGTTCAAATTCCTTATTTTAAGAAAGTAGCCACATCCCCAAATGCTGATTTTACAATGTTTTATTAAAAAGAATTTATTTTACCTCACAAAATATTTTAAAGCAAATGTGGAGAGATGGTGAGGAACCATCTGTTCTTGGCTTCCCTTGAAGGCCCTTCGTGTTCCTAATATTAGCCTGGGGATTCCCAGTCTTCATAGCCTTCCCAATCTTACATCTAGCATCATAATCACCATTGTTCTTTTCTTCTGAGCCTGAAGTACAGAACAGGGCTCCCTTCTCTCTCTTTGTCCAGATGGGTTTGTATGCAGCAAACAGATGTTGCCTTCTCTCACAAACCTCCTATCCTTTTCTGTCTAAGGAGCAAATTTAGCAACCCTGTCTCTTTGGCTTGGTATTACAAAGGCACTAGAATAGTACCAAGCTATTTAATATAAAGCTTTCTTCATACAACTTGCAAAAAGCCACTAGCAGAGCAGAACATTATTAGTTCCTTTAATAAAATTTAACATGAAAACATTCTCAAATTGATGATTATTCCCATTAGATATAGATTATCTTCCTTAGTTATTTCAATATTACATCCAAAGTCATGTCATCAGTATGGAACTAGGAGGAAAACAGTCTTCGTCTCAAACTCTAGTTTCAAGCTGATTCCTATCCGCACAAAATGTCTCGGAGCCAACTGCAAATGATCACCCAAAGTTTGATGGCTTTCCCAGGCATAATTCCCTTTCTCTGAGGGGGGCTCAGATCCAGCCCCCGAGAGGCTGGATTCAGAGACACAAAGGGCAGGTGGTTCCCAGTCTTTTGAATGGATCAGAATCTTATTTTTTATTCCTCCCTCCCCCCACAGCCATAGTTAGAAAGGAAAGCTTGAAAATATGAACCCAGTGAGACCACAGTCACAACAGCTGGTTGAGTGAGCTTCCAGAAGAGTAGGAGTGGCAGCGATTAGAGCCTGGGAGGATGCTACTTGGTGCAAACTCTTCTCACAGTAAACCTGGCCCTTGTTGAATGAGGGAGGACTGGATGGTTGTAGGTATCGGATACCCAGATGGGCTCTGTGGCATCAGTTCCACTTTGGTGAGGCTCACATGAACCTCTGGGTACTGTCCCTCCCCTCTGGCTTTTTAGCTCCACTGATTGCTGGCAGAAAAAAATGCAAAAGTCCTCTCCCAGGTGGCCTCCAAATGAAATGCTTTTCATAATACATATGCAGATCTGCATCTTCTCTATTCTTTCTCAAATATCTGAATGAGCACTGGGATAGTTACAAACACTGACATTCCAAATCATCATTGAGTTTGCGAATAACACACTTCACTGAAATAAACAGGGCAGTTCACACCAATTAGAGATATTATTTTGGACAACTCTGCAGACATCTGCACAACTTAGTGCTCATTTAATGTTTTCAAGGTTTCTTCACAGTAAGAGTCAGAAACGTCCTGTTTTAAATGAAAGCTGAGCTTCAGGAAAAGATAGCTGCCTAAAAAGGTGAGCTAGCTTGCTAATTCAGCCTACTCCAATATTTGTGATAAAAGAATCAACTGTGTAACATAGCTGAAACCCATGACTTTTAGTCAAGATAGGATGAAGAAATCTTGTTCCATGCACAGATTTAATTTTATTGGTTCTTTGTGTCCGAGGCAGAACATCAGAAATGGCTGCCCGTCGCAGGGAGCCATAGCCTGTAATACCTCTGAGGCTGGTATAGGGGGCTCTGTCTGTGAGGTGGAGTGTTTTCCATATAAGGGCATGTAAATTAATAATCTTCCCCTGCTCGCTCCACCCATTGCAGTGAAAGATCAGCCAATGGGCTGACTGGTGCTCAGGCCTGCTACTCCACCCACTGCAGCAAAAACCAACCTATGGGGTGATAAGTTCACAGGCAATAAAACAGGCAGGCAGCCCCTCTCTCACTGGGGATTCGCATTGAGTGAACGCCTGGCCTGATCACCCAGACGCCTTGCACCCCCCGCTCGAGTCTTACTGAGCGTACTCCGAGCTGGTCGACCCGAGTGGAGACAGTTTATGAGCGTGTGACCGGTACTTGTGTTCCTGCTGTCTCCAGAACTGGGTGTCCCCCCCCCCCCCCACCATCATCCCTATCCTAATTGATTTTTTAGTTGTCCTTATTGCTTGCCAAGTGACAGTAGCTAAAAAGTTACTAAGTTAGTTTATAAATAGTTGTGGTTTAGGTTTTTTACTGTTTCCTTGTATAAAGTTGTGTAAATAATCAGCACTATGAACAATACCAGTGTTAATTCAGCTGTTCCTAACCCCTGGGCAGTTATTGGGAATTATTGTGATTTAGAAAAGCCTCAGGGAATTGTTTTGTGTTGTCTGGCAATCTGTTTAATTTTTGTTCTGATGATTGTCTGGCGCCATCAAAATAAAATCAGTTTGTTCTTTTTGAAACCCCCAGTTGTGGTCTCATCCTTTCCGGCATCCCTTCGAACCTCGTGTATTACGGGGACTGACACTTTGGAAGAAACATGCATAGATTTCTGTGTAAGAGATTCAGAGACAAGAGCGTAATGTTTTAAAGGCATAATGAACTCAAAGTCCACTCTCCCCTTAACTTTTTTTCTTATGATACTAGATGAAGGTGAGAAAGGTGTTATTTGAATTCAGTTTTAGGTTGAGATTTTTTTTAAAAGGATCTTAGAAGTATTTTAGGAAAAGAGGAACCAGGATGATAAATATAGAAAAGGGAATTAATAGAGCCTGGGAACTGTAAAGGGGCCTAAGGGCCTTAGACACAATTATTGTATTTCAATGGAATGTGCATGGTTAACTCCTTTAATATCCTTTATAAATCCTAAATCTGACTTTTCTATATATATTATCCTGTTCCCTTTTCCCAAAACAAACTACACATTTATAAACTGAATCTCTTAGTAAAAGCTTAACTCATACCAGAAAAATTAAGATATTATGAAAAGATAATTCTCTATTCCAATTCTTAAACCAAGAATATTCAAGTGTAAGATCTTACAAATTTTTTCTTAGCTTTCCCTTTCTCTCTAGAAGATCAGATATGCATATGATAACTCATCACAAACACTGAGGACACTTCTACATTAGCAACTTTTGCCAGTATATGAACATCAGTTAGAATTATGGTTTTTTGTGGCATTTCATACTAGAAAAAATCCTGGAGTAGACAGTTATCCTGGGCACCACATTTCAAGAAAGATGTGGAGAAATTGGAAAGGGTACAGAGAAGAGCGACAAGAATGATTAAAGGTTTAGAGAACATGACCTATGAAGCCAGGCTTCATGAACTGGGCTTGTTTAGTTTGGAAAAAAGAAGATTAAGGGGGGACATGATAGCAGTTTTCAAATATCTAAAAGGGTGTCACAAGGAGGAAGGCGAAAATTTGTTCCTCTTGGTTTCTGAGGACAGGACAAGGAGTAATGGGCTTAAAGTGCAGCAGGGGAGGTTTAGATTGGACATTAGGAAAAAATTCCTAACTATCAGGGTGGTCAAATATTGGAATAAATTGCCAAGGGAGGTGGTGGAATCTCCCTCTCTGGAGATATTTAAGAACAGGTTAGATAGACATCTGTCAGGGATGGTGTAGACAGAGCTTGATCCTGCCTTGAGGGCGGGGGGCTGGACTCGATGACCTCTCGAGGTCCCTTCCAGTCCTATTATTCTATGATTCTATGAAAATTGGTTCCTCCACCCCCCAGTTAAGGATTATTTTATCAGAGAACAGGTACACACTATAGAAACAAAAGTACTTTTTGGCCAACATAATCTGTGTCCACAGTATTAGAGCTTGTGATAGGACTGATATGACATGACAATAAGACATCACGTCAAAGTTCACAGGGACTAATCATTCCTTAATTAGAACACCGCTATTCAAAAGAAGAATATCAAGGGTGTTTGGACTCAAAGCTGTAACATTAAGTGCTTATGCACCTTATTAATTGGCTTTGTATAATCGCCAAGTAAATGTGTCCTTCTGTAAAATGCATCTCAGTAGAATAGTTGTCATGTGGACATGTTCAATTCTAAGTACTACATACTTTTTAAAACATTATCTCTCTGAATTGTGCCCCCAAATTCACATTTTGCTTACAGTTTCTATAGCAGATAATTTAAAAAACATGAGATACCAATATATATGGATAAAACATCTGAAGTGAAGCATTATTTTCTAACATTGAACAGTCACATATGGTTCTCTTTAAACAACATCTACATGAAAAGGAGAAAACACGAATAATCTCTTTGTTCTCAAAAGTTTCAATTATTCCAGCCAGAAATTCTATCCAGAAGTTTACTGCTTCACATACATACATAAATACGCAAGCACAAATGTGTCTGAGCAATACTTGACTGACATTATGTGGTGTAATAAATCACATTAACGATTAAGTGGAATTGTACCACCTTGACCTTCTCTAACAAAAAAGGATGAAGTTACACCTGCAAAGAACTTAAATTAGCCTATATTATCTTTTACATGCATTTATTCCTCTATAAAGGCTAAATGTAGTGCTTCTGAATTGTTAGAATTCGAATAATAAATTAATCCCCCCCCCCGCCCCAAAAGCATTACATTTTATTTAAAGATTTTTCTGCACTGGATCTGAGAAGAGATTTAAATGTAGAATAAAATATGTCTAATCATTATTTCTGAGAAACAGCTATCAGTTACTGTGTAATGAGACATATGTATGCAAAGAAGGATATAATTTTCAGATTATGTTTCAGATTGTGTAATGTAAACCCCACATCAATTTGGCAGATGTTAAATACGGACTAATGTAAAGCATATCTTTTGAAAGAATCAATATTTGTAAATGAATCATATGAACATACATTTCAAATTATTCTGTAATAGTTCTTAACTAGATACACATGCAACCTTATATCTCTATATACTATCAGAAGATATATTGCATGAATAATTTTTGATTACCATAGTCTACATAAGATTTCTGTACAAAATACCTTTAGTTTTCTTTGAGGTACAGCTTCCCACTCTATAGACCTGAACCACCGATGCCTTTTCACATCATCTGCTCCATTCTTTAAAAACAAACAAAGAAGAGAGTGTAAGGTAATGTGAATGCCATAAAACCTTGACCTGTTTTCAAACTATTCCCTTTAACCCCCCCTTAAGTTCAAACTTTACATTAAAAAAAATTCCAGAATACCAGAAGTTATTCATAACCCTATAATATGGAGAGAAATATAAAAGAAAAATAGCAAAGCTTCCACAAGATCATTAAATAACCAGGGAGAATAAAAAAGTTTGCTACTATACAAATTTATTTATTTAGAATATAAGCTTCTATTTTATTTCTGAAAAGCTCTTCAATCTAGTTATATACGCTGGATAAGATTTCTCAGTGGTATGAAGGGCCAGTGAAAAGCTCTTTAGACCACTGAAACCCCCTTCCTGGGCTGCAAAAGGGTTGTGGGGATCTGCATTTCCACAGTTCAGTGGCACTAAAGATTTCATATATGTGGTACAAGGTCATGGGAAAGTGCAGAATCCCAATACCAAAGCTTTAGGTTGAGTGAGTATATTTTCCCAATCTCCAATATCTTCTCTCTCCTGGCACTTTACTACTCATGAAAAAAAAAGTATAAAACTAACAAATAATTTTGAAAATATTTTTTTCAGATTTTATATATGAAAAAAATATTTTCGAAATTCTTTGTGAGCTCTCTCTCTATATATCTATATCTAGCTCACAAATAATTTTAATGAGCGGTATGCACTTCAGCACCCAGCAGTGCTCCAAATGACAAAGGGAATAAGACTTTCTATAAATAGATTAGAAGCAAGAGAAAGATCAAAGACAGGACAGGCCCATTGTTCGGTGAGGAGTGAGAAACAGTAACAGGAAAGTTGGAAATGGCAGAGGTGCTTAAAACTCATGGAAATGCATTGAAGAGATCTCAAAGAATCGCTTCTCTGAGGAAACATCATTTACTCCTTTCCCAGGTGTAGAAGTTTAGCTTTGTTTTCTGAGATATGAGAACAGGGAGAAATGACAATTTGGGGTAATTGCAGGCACTACTGAAAATCTGTGTCAAAACTTCGAGTGACATTAGACCTTACTCATTAATCTGACATGAGTCTCCACTACTGCCATATGCGCAGGAAGTAGCATTGCAGGGGGAGCTACCGAATCATCTAGTTTTACAGTCCCCAACCCTGTGCTCTTGCTGCCCAGGTTCCCAGTCTTGTGTCCTGTTAATACTCAGGGGCTCAGCCCTGCTTGCCTGCCAGCTCTGCTGCCAATGCTGGCCTTCAGATCCTCGCTGCCAGCCCAACATGCAGGGCCCTGGCTGCTGGCCCCATGCCTGGGATTCTGCATCCTCCATAGCTGTGGCCCCAGCCTCCAACTTCCATACCACATCCACATTCTCAGACCCACGGTCCTGCTCTTGGCCCCAGCTCTAAGGAGTAGCAAAGGGTGCTGGCAGGAGTAAGGGAATGTGTAGCTCAGCACCCCCACTCCCAAAAATTGTTCTAGCATCACTGACTACTGAGGAAACAGAGATTTCTGTTGTAGACTATTCCTTGAGGTTGATGATTACTAAAATTACCATTTAGTAATGGGCAGTAAACAAAAATTCATTGTCCATGACTTGTACTATATAGCCCAGACAAAATCTTAGGGGGTAGGGTGAAAGCAGGCACTGAGGGCACACAGAGCAGTACGTGCCTTTCCCTCAGCTCCTAGCTGAAGACATGGCCAGAGGGCCCTGCACATTTGTGGAGAGAGGTCTTTAAAAGCTTGGTCAAGAGGGGAATGGAACATCTGTAGGTCTTACATCAAGATGGAAAATGGGAGAAAACACTTAAGTACATGTTTCATAATCTGGTTGGCAGATTTGGCTATATCCTTGGAATGGTATGTAATAAACCAAATGTTCTGCCTGGTAATCCTTTTGTCAGGTGTGAAATAAGAGTCTCTTATTAATGCACTGTTTGATATTGAGCTCAAAGAGCATCAAACTGAATAAAGTTTGACAGAAGAAAGACTGGATACATAAAGCCAATATGCATTTGTCCTTTGGAAACATTTCTTCATGTCTACCTTACCAGGATAGATTGGTTATAATCTACAAATGAATTCAACTGAAGTGGCTGTAAGGATAGCAACATCTGTTTATCAGCCTTTTCGTCTCTTGGCTGTCTGTCTGCCACTTTTGCCAGCCATTCTTGCCTTCCAAGCTTTCCGTGGGCTCAGACAGAGTCCAGCATCTGCCTAAGTTTTGTTGCCTGATTACAGAAGGAAGCCATTCACGGGACAAAGCAGAACTAATAAAAGAGAAATGACTTTTTGTTCTTTCTCTGGACATATCTTTAAGTCAGAGTAGAAAAAATTAAAGATGAAACCAAAGATGAGCAGACAAACTGTGTGCAGTGTTGGAGTGACCAAAGATGTACATGGAAAAGAATGTACAAAGACAGACACAAAAAGAAAACTGGCAAACTGGACAATGGCGGTAGAAAAACAGAAACCTGAAGAGAAGGAACAACATATGGTTAAATCACCAAGAGGGAGAACATAAGAATGGACATACTTGGTTAGACCAATTGCCCAGACAGCTCACTATCCTGTCTTCTGACAGTGGTCAGAGCCAGATGCTTCAGAAGGAATTAATAGAACAGTGCAGCTATCAAGCAATCAACCAGTCCCAGCTTCTGGCAATCAGAGATCTAGACACCCGGAGCATAGAGTTGTATTTCTGAGCATCTTGGCTAACACTCATTGTCAGACCTATGAACTTACCTATTTTTTAAACTCTATTTTTGCCTTCACCTCTCCTGGCAACAAGTTGCATAGACTGATCATTTATTCCATGAAGATGTACTTCTTTTGTCGGTTTTAAACTTGCTGCCTATTAAGTGAGCCCCAATTCTTGTGTTAAATGAAGGGGTAAATAACACTTATTTACTTTCTCCCCACCATTCATGATTTTACAGACCTCGTTAGATCCCTCCTTAGTCATCTCTTTTCCAAGCTGATTAGTCTTAATCTTTTTTTCCATCTCTCTTTATACAGAAACCATTCCAAATCCAATCCTCTGGTAGAGAGGCTGACAAACGATAGGTTGCATACCAGTTAGTAGTTCTACAGTTTCACAACTGCGTTTCTTCAGAACTCGTGAGTGATTATCATCTGGTCCTGATGACTTCTTATTGTTTAATTTATCATACTGTTCCAAAATGTCACCAACCAACAATCTGATTCTGGAACCGTTTCTCACATTTGCCACCCAGAAAACATGACTCAGGTGTGGGAATTTCCCTAAGACAGAATGCAGTGATGACTGATGCAAAGAATTTATTTAGCCTTTTCTGCAACAACCTTGTCTTCCTTGAGTGCTTCTTTAGTGATTTGCTCAACTAGAGATTCACTCATTACTTGGCAGGATTCCTGCTTCTGATGTACTTAATTTTTTGGGGGCACTTATGGTTTGGGTTTTTTTTTTTTTTTGGTAGCTGCTCTTCAAATTATTTTTTAGTCTGCCAAAAGGAGACAACTAAACTCTTCCAGTGCTTAAATTTTCCTGTGACCCCAAATAAAAGTCTTTTAGCTTCTGCAGCTGGAATTTGACACATCTGTAATGGAAACTGGTTGGTACAAATCCATGTGATCTAATACTGCAGTAACTGTTTCTGAAAAGTGAAACTACATAATTTTTTTC